AAGCAATTTATTTTATCCGAAATACATTTATTTTTCAACCCCTTTCATGTAAATGTACTTTTTACCCAAAGCGTCTTCGTATATTAACTCTGAATAATTTACGGTCCGACATTTCGGTCCGAGAAATGAACAAAATATTCTCGATCGGACCGAAATCTTTTTCAGTAATCTATCTATCTATCTATCTATCTATCTATCTATCTATCTATCTATCTATCTTAGTCTGTTCATTATCTATCTATCTATCTATCTATCTATCTATCTATCTATCTATCTTAGTCTGTTCATTATCTATCTATCTATCTATCTATCTATCTATCTATCTATCTATCTATCTATCTATCTATCTTAGTCTGTTCATTATCTATCTATCTATCTATCTATCTATCTATTTATCTATCTATCTATCTATCTATCTATCTATCTATCTATCTATCTATCTATGTTAGTCTGTTCATTATCTATCTATCTATCTATCTATCTATCTATCTATCTGTAGGTTGATAGATAGATAAATTTAGATTAATATATATTACACTAAACAGGCTTTGAGAAATAACCTAAAATGTCTATCTCAGTCTTTTTCATATCTATCTATCTATTTTTCAGCCGAATTCATTTAGACGTTTTTTTTCTTTCCGTCACAAAAATAAAAAAAAAGATTCTGAAATTCCAAGTACTCCTCTGTCGTGCGCATGTGTAGTCTTGCCAACATAACAAATTAGTCCGATGAAGTCATGAAGGGTGAAACGTGTCACAAGTAAACGTTTTCCACTTTGTCACTAAATTCTCAATACTTATCCCCAATCATTATATATATATATATATATATATATATATATATATATATATATATATATATATATATATATATGTATATACATTCATATATGATATATATATTTGTGTACATTATTTGTATTCATATATTTATTTGTGTATATATATATATATATGTGTGTGTGTGTGTGTGTGTGTGTGTGTGTGTGTGTGTGTGTGTGTGTGTTCATGTATAACCAATAATCCTTAATGAAGATTACAAAAGAAAATGAAAAATAAAATTTATGACTTTTAATTTTAAATTTTCATAATTTTAATCAATTTTTTCTCAGAATATTTGTTCTTTTTAAATCGGTATTAAGAAACATAAAAATATTTATTGACTTACTTTTGTAGTTTTTTGTTAGTTGAAAAACAATTGATATAGTTTGTTCTTATCTAAACCAACGTAACTGTATTTGCACTGATATTTAAATGAACTAAAGTTATGAAGTTAACAGTGATAAAACACAATTTCAAACGAACGTTCCAGTACCGGAGATGTTGTAAGACTACTTAAAACCATTTAACATATGTCAAGTATGGTATAAATAAGCTGAAAAATTTACATCCAAAATTAATCATATAATATTGTAACGAAAACAATAGGCTTTAATAACGAAATATAATCGAAATAATTCATGAGAAGAATTTGGAACACTATGTTCTATTACAATTTTATGCACATATGTAAACGGACTAAGTTGAACATTTGCACTGATACGCATATATCAATTTAAGCTTTATGCTTCTAATTATGGCGTTATTTTTCAATCTATTTTATTAAACTAGTCTGATCTAGTCGGATATTATAGTTTATCTTCGTGCGAACTGATATTAGTTTCCCACGTCATAATGCACTTCATTATCTATCTATCTATCTATCTATCTATCTATCTATCTATCTATCTATCTATCTATCTCAGTCTGTTCATATCTATCTATCTATCTATCTATCTATCTATCTATCTATCTATCTATCTATCTATCTATCTAGTCTGTTCTATTCATCTATCTATCTATCTATCTATCTATCTATCTATCTATCTATCTATGATTTCACAGTAGATAGTCTATCCGTGTGTTTTATTATTGGCCTTGATAAAGTTGAGCGTCACTGCAAATTGAAGATAAATTCAAAGAGCAAGTTTGTTGAAATTATTTTAATCCTGGAAATTAATATAATTTTTTTTTTTTTACCTCTGTATGGATATTTGCTTGGATGGCATTATGGAGGACTCTATAGCGTCAACTTTTCTGGGAAGCATATTTTTAGTTGAAGTCAGTGAAGAGTAACTGCAGATCAAAAATTGAGAAACACGTACTCTGAGCAACCTTCGAAAAGCACAGATCTCTATCACTTGATTTGTATATGATCTCCTCATGGAATCTGTAGCAACAGTTTTGAATTGTTTCCACTGCATCATCTTACTCAAAGAATCTCTGATAGATTTTTTAAAAGTTTTTGGTCATGTTTTAAATTTAAAAGAGCTGAAAATACAAGCTTATTCTTGTATATTTTGTAATTTTCGTGTGAAAATATTACACAGTTTTGTGCAGTGTTTTACAAACAAATAAAAAGAGTAATTTTAAAATGTTTTCTATTCTATCTGCAGCTTTTTAAGTTATTTCCTTTAGCTGAAAAGAAAGCTATTTTGATCCAAATTTGACCGCTAGTGGTCACCAAGCATCACTTATTTTCCAGTCATTTTCTGATAAATTTAATCCCATGTATGAATGCTCCTCCAAGAATGCAATTTTGTTGGAATGAAAATCATAAGATCCGCAAATAAATTCTACTTTTAATATTTGATGACTTCCGGTATTGAATCTGACATTTTCTTATAGTCATTTCACACAAAACAAGGCGGTAATGCCAATATAACACAAGGGGTTACGGGGAGTGAAAGAGAAAGTGAAAGTGAAAGAAAACAAGAAGACTGAGAATAAAGAGGTTTGGGAGAAGGACAAAAAATTAACAGGATTCAAGTAGATACATGATCGCGACTGACGGTGTATTTAAACTTTAGAATATAGTAGTTATCAGGGAAACAAGAAAACGGAAGAGGGTTATACAGCTGGCAAGTGTGAGAAAAGAAACTGTTAGAGTAGAAGTGGTCGCTGTATTTAGCTATTTCAACAGTAAAACGTTGGGACCTAATTGTCAATCTAGTAGCACACTTATTCATGTAGGCAGGGTATCAGAAAAAAAAGCTCGTCAGAACAGT